GTGTGTGTGTGTGTGTGTGTGTGTGTGTGTGTGTGTGTGTGTGTGTGTGTGTGTGTGTGCAAAGATGATCTGCGTTGTTACGTCATATCTGTGTAATCTGGGCAGTAACAGCCTGGTAATTTAAGGGATTATTGTCTGTCCAGCGGGAGACAGTTCCTGAGACTGTGGCTGTCCAAGAATCCCTCCGTCAGACACGCATAACACCAGCAAATGAACACTTAAAGAAAAGTTCCAATGTTTAAAAATGTTTTTTTGTGAGCAATTGATATCTTACATGTTGTGGATATCTTTTTGCACAGACTCAGTTTTAAAAAATGTTTTATTTTGACCAGATTGATGAGCTAAACTCTAGTGAAGAACCAAAAAATATTGCTTGTAGGATTCTATGTAAATCACATGAAAGTCACCATAAGGTTCACAAAATAACACGGCAGAGTAGTGGTAAGAACCAGGCTGTGTCCAACCAAATCCAGGGGCTGCGCCCTTCGAAGGCCGATTATCTCACAGCGATGCCCCGAAGGCTGTCTAAGTTCAAATGTTCCTCCAACTGCAGCCCTAAAGTGTATCCTTTCCCCCTGAGGGACGGGTCCAGTGTGTCCATCTCAGCACTTCTTATCCCAAGATGCACTGCAGGCTGACCAATCGAGAGAAAAGAGTACAGTTTTACATAAAATTCTGGTGGTACAAAAACTAAAAATTTAAAGCGTTTTTGTTGTTTTTAATATTATTGTAGTCAGAAATCATTGTAAACAAGCTCTAAAGTTGCTTAGTTCTTCATAATATTTTGTTAAATTTCAATTTTCAGTGCTTCGGTTTAGCGTTGTCATGGTTGATATGTGACAGGACATAAACTGGGGTAAGGACGAGAATAAAGCTGAAAGCTAGACCGTTCAAATTCACAACCAGTTTCTCACCGCCTTTGCAGCCGAGAAAGACCCGGCCTACCTGGTCTACATAGATCTGGTAGCTCGGGTTCGTCGAAGGACGCAGACACAGCCAGAGAGGAGTTGTAGAATATTGTCCCAGTGCACACATCTGTTTTCTCAGGGTACTCTTGTTCCCCTCTCTCCCAGATCAAAAGCATGCATGTTTGGTTGCCTTTAGGCCTTTCTTGCAAATCTCTATGGGATTTGCCTAGTTGAATAAAAGTTAATCCCTAAAATTGCACCTAGGTGTGAGTGATTGTCTGTCCAGGGTGTCCCTCACCTCTCTCACTGACTGCTGGAGGGGCAGCAGCTGTAAAGAAAATGGAGGAACTGCCATGTTGTTGGCAGCAGTTTGTGTCGACCTAGCTCCGACCAGCTGTTAAATCGAAATTTCACAAAATGTAAATGTCTAAACACCATCCTCATGCTGTTATGCAACCTGAATTCAGTCCCACTGACATAACCAGCACTAGTGTCACGAGGTAAGCTCATCCCGTCACTCAATCTTTATTAATACGGGACGACACGTATTGTCAATCCCAAGTCACAAACTCGCTCCATGTTCGCCCCTCAGGAGCACACGCGCCGTCTGCCAGGGACCACCACTGGTAGCCAGGCAGTCAGGTAGCTGTGTGCCACCAGCTGGAGCCTCATTCAGACACTTTTCACACTCTGACTGCTGCTGACGGAGTCTTCACCAAACAACCTGTGGATTTCTGACTGATATTGTAAGATATTTTGTCCAGATTTAAGAAGGTAAGACTGCATATAAAACATGTTTTGTAGTGTTTGTTCATTATATAATGATCAATTAAAGGTGAATTTTAGTCATTTCTGATGCTATTCACTAATCTCCAAAGAGAAATAGATTATTTTAAGTAGATCCAGCTGCATCCTAAAGAACATCCTCCCATCTTTTCCCAGATGTTTCCCTGGTCGGCTGTTTTCTCCCTTGAACCCAAAGTGCCAGGCCAGCGCTCCACCGAGGAGCTGGTGACCAACACCCTGATGCTGGAGCTGGGGGCCATGGTGAAGCGCACTGAGCGCATCCGCTTGGAGAGGGCGGCAGAGGGGCGGCGTCGGCGTCGCAGCTCCTCGTCCACGGCCGACTACAGCTGGCTGGCAAACGCCCCGACCCCTCAGCCCTACCAGCTCACACCCAACGACCTGCTGGAGCTGCAGGACCTCTGTGCCAAAATCCCCCCTGCACAGTGTGGGCCTGTTATTGTCAGGTAAGAAACACAATAAACTGTAGAAGGGGTTATTTAAAGAACAAAAAACAATCATGGACTAATTTGCATGAATTCTAAGTAACAGTGCAGCATTAGAACATGAAAAGGAGAACTAAAGAGGATAAACCTTTAGCTAATCCCTTTAAAACCCTATAAGCAATAACCTGCTGATACTTTTAGATCTCCTGAAAGGTGGTTTTAATAACTCACAAACCACTTGTATCACCCGGCTCCTAACAAATTTTATTTCAGTGGACTAAACGCTAAAAGACTAAATCATAAATTTTCCTATGGGATTTGTTTTTTTAACTGTTGTTTTAATGATTAGAGTACAGAGTTGTAAAGTAACTAAGTTCAAGTTTATTTATATAGCTCCAAGTCACAACATACGTTGTCTCAGGTGCACATAAGAATAATCTAAGAAGAAACCAGCAGACTGCGTTGAATCAATTCATCACAGTCTCCCATCCTGAGCAAACGGTGGAGAGGAAAAACTCCCTGCTAATCAGGAAGAAACCTCCAGCAGAACCAGGCTCAGGACAGGCGGCCATCTGCCTCGACCGGCTGGTTGAGGGACAGGAAAGAGACAGGTAGACACAGAAGAACTGGTCCAGGACTGGTCCAGGTGCACCTTCTGGAAGACAAAGAAAAAACATGATAGAAATAATTACAATACACATTTAGAGAAGAGAGACTAAAGACAACAGCAGAGTGAAGAAATGTGCTCAGTTTTTGCTCCAGCAGTCTAAGTCTATATCAGCAGAAATGAAGAATAATTCTGGAAACCTAAGTCTAACTACAGTATATGATTTATCAAAATGGAAAGTCTTCAGTCTAATCTTAAAAGTAGACAGAGTTTCAGCTTCACAGACAGAAACTGGAAGTTGGTTCCACAAGAGAGAAGCTTGATAACTGAAAGCTCTGCCTCCCATTCTACTTTTAGAAACTCCAGGAACCACAAGTAAACCTGCAGTCTGACAGTGAAGTGCTCTGTTAGGAAACTATGGAACAATAAGATGTTTAGCTGTCCTCACAAACCATATTTTACTAACAACACACAAACATTGCTGCTGCAGTGAAATCTGCAGCAGACCATCGGACC